TATATATACATATATATATATATATATGAAAATGAACAATTTTGAACAGTAAATAAATATGAATTTATTTAAACCTGCAAGGATATCTGCACAACCATGAGACTATTTTTCCCTCAACATAGTCATATAATGAAATTAAGTGTTTCTTTTATTCTGCCTCGAAGTTGCAAGATAATATCAACATATTATGTTCCTTGTATCCAAATAAAGTATAAATTTTTGAATAAGTTACTGAGGTTAAATACATATTAACACTGTACACTGCTTAAGTTATTTGACATTTTCCTCTGTCTTCAATAAATTATGTAAAATACAAATAAACTTATACTTTAAAATATATACTTTATTGGAATTATAGTAAGAATATTTTAGATGGGTGTTCTAAGAAAAAAACCTTGGATATCACTGTAAATGTATCCCTTTTATGATTTTACATTATTTTTTATTATCACATTTATTTTTTAACAAGAAAACAAACTATATTTTTTCATTATACATACCGATCAAAGTTCTCACTCCCTCCCCTCCTCCTATTCCCTTCAAATACCCTGCCACCCCACTTCCACCCAGTTCTCAAGAGGATAATATACATTGTCCTATGGAAGGTCCAAGGCCCTCCCTACTATATCTAGGCTGAGCAAGATATCCATGCAAAGAATGTAGCTTCTAAAAAATCCAGGACAAGTAGTAGGAATAAATCCTTGTGCCACTGCCAGTGGATGGTGAGCAAAGTGTAAGCTTTAACACTGTTAAAGTGAGTAAATTAATAAGCCATTACAGAAATGAGTATGTTCAAGAAATGAAATCAGTATGTTAGGAAAACAGCTGGTGTCTGTATTCACTATATCATTATTTGAAATAGGCAAGGTAGAATATTAATCTAAGTGACCATAAACTTGAGGAAAGAAAATTTGGAATGCATAAAAAGTTAAGTCTATTTAGCATTAAAAAACAATAGAAATCTTGTAATTTGTGACAACAAAGATGAGCATGTAGGACATTATGTTTAGTGAAGTTAACAGAAACATACACAGGCCCAGAAATGTGAACAGATTATCTAGCAGTTTATGATCTAGCTAGTGTAAAATGCATATGTAAAAATATATACATACATATGTATCATCTTATCTGCTACATATATATACAATTGTACTTTAAAATTCTTTTAAATTATCATTATATCAATGATCTTGATATTGATATATCAAAACCTGTCTATACACCACATTCACTTTATCTGTATACTTCATAAAGAAGTAAGAATGAAGTACAATATTATAATGAAAATTATTTTGTGAAATAACAAACTATAATTTTACTATTAGTTTTTCAATCATAGATTATATTATCTTAAATTTATTTGTATTTCAATTTTACTAAACAAAGGCCTCTGGATTAAGAAAGCAAAGGTATTATTTACACTCCTGAAAACTGCAAAATACTATTTCTGTAGTTATGCTGTATATATGTATACACGGGCAACTCCATGAACCAACTTGCCTTTTATGTTTATTTGTTCTCTAGTTTTATGATATTGCTGTCTGTTTCTGTCTCTCAAACATTTGAAGAATAAATGAAAGATCAATTATGAAATTTTGCAGTTTAATTCTCTCCATTGTAATGAAATTTTGTTATCCCACACTGGCTCTTATTCTCTCCTGAATGCATCTAATAAATGTATGCCTATCAATTGGGGGATTAAAACCAGTAGAAACCATAACACAATGGTTCATCATAGAAGCACATATATTCAGACAAATAATGTTTGACAGTCGTGCACATTCATATAAATGGAGAAAGGAAAGTCTCCTGAATTTGAACCAGTTATGTATATCTTTATGAAAAATATTAAAATGATTTCAATCCATATATTTTTGTCACACATCAAAACATCAGCCTTAGTATCAAGCTTAAAAGCATTAAATTTATAGAAAAAATGATAAAGAATAGTATCTGTGACTTTAGATGACACATAGTATTTGGAAGAAATATTACTTGGACTTCATTTTAATTGTAAAAAGAGCTTCTCCTTTCTGAAAACTATTAAAGTCAATGATGGGAGAAGATAAAATAATTTCATACTGGATTTGCTAACATTTTACTTGATGAAGTACTCATATAACAGTATAGAAGATAACTCAAAGAATAATAGCAATGTAAGTAACACTTATTTTTAAATAGGGAAAATATGAGTACACACTTCACAGAACATATGTGATTGGCAAATCAGCATATGAAAAGATGCTCAACATCAGTAGGCATTAGAAAAATGCAAATAAGAACCACAAGACTATGCTACCACATACCTATCAAGATGTTATATTTAAAAACCCTGAACACAGCAAATATTTTTACTGTTGGTAGAATTGAAAATAACCTATTTGAGAAATAGATTTCTTAAAAAGGCAAAAATACACCTACCATTTGATCCAGCCATTCCAATCCTAGGAATGTTTTCTAAAAGAAACAAAAATATATATCCTTGTTCATATAGATACTTGTTCACAAAGGAGTCATAGCAACTTTATTCACAAACTTAAACTTACACAGATGAATAAGAATAAATTAGTGTTCTTACACAAAATATATCACTACTCAGTAAAAAATAGGAAAAGCACCCTTGATACATACAAAGTGGATACATTTTGAAATATTTATGCTAGAGAATAAATATAGGCAAAAAGTGATGAATTTTCAATGATAATGTTGATTTACAATAGCAAAAAAATGAAAATTAGTGTATAGGACCCTAAAATATATTAATTGTTATAAAACAACAGAGGGAGGAATCATAGATATGTACATGTGTGAGAAAAATTTTGGTATGACAAAAAAATCTATTATCTGAGTTTCAGAGATGATGTCAATTGTATATAGATTTATTAAAGTTTGTTGTGTACATTGTATTTTAATAGTTTTTTTTTTAAATAGGGAATGGGATACTAGTTTAGTAAGGTAACACTGTCAGGATGATTTTTCATCCCAAAATGACACAACAATAAAAAAAAAAATGAACTGGTCTCGGTAGCAAGGCTCAGTGGGTAAAAATGCTTGCCATGCTAACCTGGACACATGATAGAATGAGAGAACCAACTCCTCAAATTTGTCTTCTAACTTCCATATGCACTTCCAGGTAGTATACACACCCACACACTAATACACACATGTGTACACGTTCACACACATACAATTTACACAATTTTAATTTAAAAGCTTAAAAGTAAGAAGCTGCTTATGCATTGTATTATAGATATTTGTAATTGAACAAATACTGACACACTTGCCATTGTGTGTGTGTGTGTGTGTGAGAGAGAGAGAGAGAGAGAGAGAGAGAGAGAGAGAGAGAGAGAGAGAGAGAGAGAGAGA